AGTGTAGTAGTAGTAATAGTATATGTTTGCGGTCGTAATGATGACAGTAGCGCACACAAAACAGTATTTGATCCGTGCTCCGGCGCGGTTAGCGCTCACACTGCATGCGTACCGCACCCGAGCCCAACCGAACCGTGCACTGGCCCACCTCTTCCAACCGGGCCAGGGACGGCTAAATGAACCGCGCTCGAGCGCGGCACGGAGCGCTCACACTAGTCAAACGAACCGGGCTTTGGAGGTCAAACACGCTCGGGCACGGTTCAAAACGCCTAGTGTGAGTACACCCTAACACCCCACACCTTGGAAGCATCAATCCACAGAGTTCGATATCTAACTCTAGATACTGGATGTATGGTATTGACAAACCATTTGCCGCCTGTAATTGCAGCCACTGGCACGACTGAAGGCGTTCTGGGCCCAGTACAGCTTTCAGCTAACAGCTTTCTGTGACAGTAGTCACCAAGATTTTTCTACTAGACAGGGCACAGAAACACCCCCCATACAAACAACAAGCTGAGGGCATGCAGACACAAGGTGAGCGAAAGAGTCAGAACTAATCAAGTTACTTGAGCCACTCCTTTCCCCAACTGAGCGATGGCTCAACTGCTCGGTGGGGATTCGTTTTCCGACAGCTAGCGAGATGGAACCGACCTCTCTTCCCGGGGAGAGCCTACCGGCGAGGCAGACTGAAACCGAGTAACTCTACGCTCCCCGTCACACTCCCTTGCAAAATGTCCCGGCTGTTTATACCGTCTATAAATAACCTGACCAGGTCACCTTACTTTGCCCTCTGCTTGAATTCTCTGAATTTGGGCTAAATTCTGAGTGAGTTGGTTCAATTGCTGCTGCAATTCTTGCAGCTCTGCTGATCCCCTCCGAGTATTACGCTCTGGTTGTGAAAGTCCATGCACCCCATACTGTATACAGTGTGCAGTAGGAACAGAATGGCTACGTCCCCTCGCACCCCCAGGGGTCCCCTCCCGCTCCCAACGAATTGCTTTGCGGCGTACGTCTAACAATGTGCTCTCGGGATTGTGCCGAACCAGCTGTTTCAGCTCTCGCCGGAGAGTATTATCATTTACGTTTTCAACAAACTGGTCTCGCAAAAGGGCACCAGCATTGGGCATATCATGCGGCGCCTGTTCTTTAACCTTCTCCCAAATTCCACTAGGGTCTCCCCCTATTTTACCCATACTCCCCCTACTGCCGCCGGGAAAAGAACAATTCTTGGAAGGCTACATATGATCACGTACACCTGTATAACTCGCGTAGTGCTGCAATGATTTGGTCTGGATCCCCCCTCTCTGCTCCCGAGCGATAGCGAAGCTCTTCACGGGCCTCACCCTCTAAATGATCGAGTAAGAAAAACGCTTGGTCCGCAACAGACAAATGACGTGCCCGCATACAAGCACGTGCCTCTTCTACCCATTCATTAATATCAATACCTGTTCAGCCATTAAATTTTGGGCATTTATGTTCCCTTGGGAATGAACACAAATCGATCAGGGGACTGACCCCAGAAGATGAGGGGACAGCTACTGATGTAATTGCTACACTAGGTCCCGGCAACACAGCTGGCGACCCTTTGCTCATTATCCGCTCATTATCAGTCTGCAGCTGTGTTACCAATGCCCGCAGTTCCTGCAACTCGGCCTCCATATCACAATTTAATCTACCCACGTATGCCTAAATATCACTTACCGTTACCCAAATGGACCAAAAAGGATAGAGAGGGAACAGCTGAATCACTCAAGCACCATCAGCCGAGGAGGGCTGCCGTTGTTCCGCACATACTCACACACACAAAAGAAATAATGATAAACAACAAGAGAAAAAAATGTATATATATACTTGCCCACGTCTCTGTCCTATATCAGTGCAAACCCTGCCGACTACGCCAGAGTGTGGCGAGGCTAGGGCGAAAAGACCACTAGGGTCTAACTATTACTAGAAATAAGAGCTCAACTGTACTGAAACCCGACTACGCCACTCTGATACTTTATACAGAGAATAATTGAAAATAAATTAAAGCACACAGGTTCGTGCAATAATATGGACCAGAGACACGGGCACCATACAAAAGTTTCTTTATTAAGACATAAAACCAAGTCAGTAACACACAGGGTGGAAGGCCATGGCCTCAGGTTGAACCATAAAAGAGAGTTTACACACAAAAGGAGAGTTCACGCAATAATTTATTGAGAACTGTAACAGAATAACAAAAACACAAAATAACAACTCTAAATTACATATAGGGCTGAGGGCTTAAGGACCGAATTACTATCAATCAATCTTCAAAGAACCAAACCTCACTCACACCCCAATCCGTGCTCCATACTGCAACACCACACTCAGTGTTCAACCCAACACCAGCACGCGAATAGATCAACAGAAAACTCCTGCCTGTAGCCCTCAGCTCCTGAAAGCAGAACGCACACACTCACACACCACCAGTCACACACCCAGAGATACACACATGTAAGCAAATGATCACCAGTATGAATCTGTATAGACAAACATAATACATTAACCCACCCAACACTTTTACACAAAGAAACCAATAAACAACCCCAAAACTACAAGATTGCTAAAATGGACATGAGCTTTCCCACTGGTAGCAATCAGTTCAAGGAAGAAAACAAAACAAAAAAAACAATAAACAAAACAAAACAATCAGCAGTATTTCAACCACTCTGACCTCGAATGTATTACAAAAACAAGAAATCACATACAATAATAATTAAACAATTTTGATAACCAAGTTGCAAAACAGAACCCACAAACTAACGGACAATAAATGGCCGGAACACACCGACACAAGCAACATGAAACAAAACAGATGAGTGTGTGTTCC